TAATTATCATATGATTGACTTAATACGCAAACTGAGCACGAGAAGCAGGACTTATCCACGCCGGTGTTGTGTCGTAGAATGCACCCCTGCCGAACGCACCCCCTGCTAGTAGTCATGATCCAAATACTCGCGTATGAGCTCATTTTCTTCCACTTTAAGAAGCTAATGAGTGGACGGGATGCAGGGGTGCATTCTACAGCACAACACCGGAACGTATTTCCTCCGCACCCTTCTCAGCTTTTCAACCCCTGACCCGTTTTCATGCCTGAAGCGCTGTGTTTGAGAAATACTTGCGGCCGGGCACTTCATATCGCGGGTCGAGAGTGGCTAGAAGCTGGTCGAAGCCAGGCTTTTCAACGGTAGTTATTGGCAGCATGTCACTGCATGGGTGATGTCCTTATGCTGCTTGGACGCTTTGTCGTATTTTGGCAAGAAACGAAGTCCAGTTTGGTCTGCTTCACATGCTTTGTGCTGGTGCTGGCAGTGGTTCCAGAGGATTCCTCCTCCGACGACGTGGAGCCGCGGCGCGGCCGACACAGCTCGTACTCCTGCGGGTGCGATCGGTTTAGATGGTAGAACAAGTTGGTTGTGTTACCAGACTTGGTTTTTACTAATTCTCTGCAAATTTTGCAAACAACTTTCATCGTGTCCCTAAAGACATTAGTGTCCGAGAGCTGAAAAGCTCCTATGTTACCTGCCACTCCTACTACACCCGCAATGTTAGGCTGCAAGCGAGCATGAAAAGGAGTCTGCAGAGCAGCGCTGTCTCCGCCCACGACTCAGAGGTGAATTGCTAATGAGCTACTAGAGCTCTGCACGAGAAAAGCCCTTGAAAACAACACAGGTAATGCGATTTTGGCTAAAAACTTTATAACACAACATAAAGACCACTGAGAACACTTTAAGTAGTGAAGAAAAAAAAAACACTGGAGTGGGACTTTAAACTTTTTAATTAGGTCAGAACTTATAGACTGCAAAATTCCAAATACTAATCAAGTGAATCTGCTTGTTTTCATGTCACATAGCAAATAAAAAAAATAAAAAAAAAACACCAAGGGAATATACCTGAACTTCCTAAATACAAAAAAATCTGAACCAGAAGCTGAGCAAGTGTCATTAGTTCATGTAGCTCCCTAGTGAGGAGAGTACAGCACCAAACACGACAAGCAGCATCTTTGGCTGCAGGTCCAATTCTGATTTTTTAACCATATGTGACACATATCTTATTTTTTCATGTAAGTGTGAACAGTGCAATTCTGATCTTTCCAAATCCGATCCTGGCCTCTTTTGTATGTGGATATAAACCGGATATGTATCCGATGTGACTGCAGTGTGGACGCGCAGGTCACGTTCATCCAACCCATATGTCATCAATATGCGACAAATGTCACCATTGTTCGACAACACAAACAGGCGCGGAGAGCAATTAGTGCTGTGTGCACATACGGGTCACTTCACAGACGCATTCCGTTCACATTAGATTCCACATTCGTTATTGTAATGTGAAAGACCACACAAAAAGATCAGATTTCACAAAAAAATCCGAATTGTGCATCATAACCTGCAGTGTGAATGTAGCCTTCGTGTTGTCTCCTTTCCCTCCCCTCCCTCAGCTGAACTTGCAGCCATTGCTGGTTTAGAGCTGCAGCATCACTGACCGGCGTCGTTCCTCTCTGCAGTGAACCTCACCAGCAGCTTTGCAGAACTATGTTTATCTTGAAGATGCTTCTTCAAATCTGAAGTAGAGTTCTCAGCAGCTGAACAGTTTTTGATCCTCGGGTACTTAACATCTCACTTTGAAGTTGTTTTTGTTGGTCTCAAAATAATAGGAATTTTTCAACAAAGCCAATGCTATCCTCCGTGCTATCTAACTCAAACACCAGTTGAACCCCCCCTGCTGTCAGTGGGGCATGAATATATTCATGGATAAGGAGTTTAACAAAGTCTAGAATTTTTATCACATCATAATACATTGTGTACACAGCCTCTACAGAAAGTGTTGTCCAACTCTAAACTAAGAGCATTCTCTTATCTGCAGCATGAATGAGTATCTGTGGACAAACGGCAGAGCGTCTGTATCAATGCAGTTAAAAACAAAAAACTGACACATTAGCCAGACTCTCCTCTCTCCCTCTGCTTCTGAGATCAGAATAACTCAGTAGGTTTAACGTAGAACTGTGAGATCTCCTCTACTAGAGAATCATTGCCTTTTTATGTGATATCTCTTTAGATAATAATACGTTAGATCTTCAAAGCTGCAGCACTCATCTGCAGCCCCATACCTTCCTCTGAGCCAAAAGTATTATTAACATGACAAAAGCTCAGTGGCCCCTCTCTGCCCTGCCTTTCATTAGCATTTATATAGACACTGGACGCACGGCAGACTGCAGCACAGCTTAATTCAGAGCAGCATGCTCAGAGCTGACAGGGAGAGGAGAGCAGCATGAAACTAAATATTGATGGATAAAGGAGGACGTGCAGAAGCTCATGTTTGTCTGATGGGATGTCATGTTGTCCCCTCAAAGTATTGTTTTCTGTTGTCTCTGATGTAACAACTGCTGATCGCCCGCGCTCTGCTTTGTGTCGGAGAAGGAAATCCAAGGAGACAGGCATACAAAAATAAAATCAGCAATATTACCTTCACATATCTGCCTTGGAGCCAGGAAAACACTGCTTATGTTTGCAGCGGACCTGCATGTTTAGAGCGGGCTGCAGTGCAGGTGTTACATTAATCCAGTCAGGGTTGGCTTCAGAAATGACAAAAACTGTTTAGCCTAATTGACTGGAGCTTCATCAGTGAGCCAACTCTTCAAAAAGGACTCAACAAGTACCCCTCTAGTGTCGCTTCAGCTTATTGATTTAATGCCAAGTTCAAGTCAGGTGACATAAAACACAGACCACTGAAGTCCCGGTCAGTAGTCCAGTGTGATGGATGTCTCAACCAATCACAGGTCTCTCTTTCAGGACACTTAAATTAATTACTAAATTATTTTAAGAAGTTTACATTCTCTTTTGTCATATTATCTACTGAGTTACATAACTTTTGTTAGTTACACAACTCCTGTCGTCATGAAACCGTCATCTGTAAGTTATGTAACTAACATACATACATTAGACTTTATTTAGACCTATAACCACTGTCCAGAACCTAACCACTTTATTTCAGACCTAAATACAACCAAACTGTGACATTTAAGCTCCATTAGCACCAGAGCAGGGATCATTATTGAGCTGAAGTCTCCTATTTTTGTTTGTTCTTAATGTTGGACTCCATGCATGTCATACAGGTGTACAGGTAACATATGGGGTGAGACATAAAATATGAGTAAGAGAGGGAAGGTTTTTGAAGATAGGTTCCAACTGAAAAATACAATCAAGCTGTAAAAATTGGTATGAAATAATAAATAAAGGAACCATCTTTTCACCTCACTCCCTTTTGTGTTGATTTTTGCACAAAGAAGTCTTCCCTGATCTCATTGTGTTCATATGTAAGTTGTATTTTTAGACTAAAAATCTCCTCCTGCTGTTTTTTACTGTCAGACAACATCACTCACTTAGTACTTAAACTTATTGTTCAAAGATTAGATCAGGGTGCACTCCCCTTAGGCAATCTGCACCGTTCTCAGGCACAATTGACCTCTTATAACCCCTAATACCCACTTTCTCTAGCCAGTGCTCCATATCACACCCAGGCACAATATGCTTCCTGGCACTGGCACAGTTGAAAGAGGTGAACTTCAGCCCTAGCATGGCACTGAAGAGCATCCAATTTTTTTGTTTTCGTTGTTTCCCTCTCCCAAATACAACACGTCACATTGAAATAGCAGTACAGAAATAGGTGTCAGCCAAGCAGCAGCAGAAACAGTTTTATATTTTACACAAAATATTCACAAGGACTGATACCATTGACTGTTAAGACTTTTCTTTTAAATTTTATAATAGAACACTACTTAAAGGTGGGGTAGGCAGGAATCTGTTAAAGAAGCATCTTTTTTTGTGGTGTATATACAAAAAAGCTTTTAATATCAGTCAATAGCTATTAGTTATTGATGACATTTGGTAATATAACGATATCACTGTGTTTTGTTATGTATGTGTAGTTGGCATTTTAAATGTTTTGAGCACTCCGCTCTCTCTGACTGTAAACAAAGCCATTCTCCTCCTCCCCAACCTGATTGGTTGTGAGGCAGACGCTGCTTCCCGTGTCGTTCTGGAGCCCAAGCAAAGTTAGCGTGCTACAATATCAGACATTAGGAACTAACCAAAAAGTACAGAAAATTGTCTGAATCCCCCTTTAGCCACGACCACCAACACAAGCAAAAAAACGAAGTAAATACCGGAGACTCTGGCGGAATAACGGGCGCTTAAAAGGAGGTAGACCACCCGGACAAGAGCTAAAAAAAGCCGGGTCAACAATGATGGGGGATGCTTTGGGATCTTACAGACCCTGTAACCTTTCTGCTGGACAGGTAAACTACTTTAACAAAGTAAGCCAAGTGTAACAGAAGTTTTTTGTCAAACGGGACCTGCTGCGTGTTGTAGCACCGCTAAACTGTTAAGCTCAGGTTGGGAGAAAACTGGTTGGGAGGGGTAGTGTTTACATTCAAGATACCTCCCCAAAACTGGCACTTCCTCAGGTCCTGCCCACCCCACCTCAAGTATGTATAAGGCAAAACAAGTAATGACTGCTCTGTCCACAGGGGGTGCCAAAGTTGTCACAAACCGAAAGTTTTTCACTAGAGCTTTAAAAAATGAGAAAATGACTCCCATACTTTTTACTTTGTTTTTTTTTTTTGCTTCATATTTCATGACTGTTCCTAATTCAATGGGGACAACTGATGTAGCATAAAATTATCATGATGAAATATTTTTGATGTGCTGTACACATATTGCACACATCTGTGTTCCTCTGGGGTCAGTTTGATCACAAGCTGTTTTGGCTGTGTAAAACTTGCCTGTCTGCATGTGTGACCCAACATCCCCATACCTGCAGGTGCGATTGATACTTTTGAGTTGATCCATAACAGGGAGGTGAGGAAAACAACTATTCCCATCAGAACTTTAAGAATTCTCATGGTGTGGACATGTGGGACTTGTAACAACTTGACTTGTAAGCTCCTGCCAAAATGAGGAAACCACTGTAGGCTCGCAAGTTGATCACACCCAAGTCTATCCAACTACAAATATCACCAATGATCATCTCAAATGCAATATTTCCAATTGATGGTTATACAAAGAGCTCGAATAATGAGCGTCTTCAACATGGCGGACTGTGTGTCTGGTGAGACACACTCATAGCAGCACGTCTACCTTGTTGTTGAAGTCGGTAGGGGGACCATAATTTTCCATTTTTGTTGCTACCATGACATGGGAGAGGGGGAAAACAATATTCTCATGAGAACCTCCCTGCACCATGGGCATGAAGGTGTGTGTGTGTGTATGAGTGACCTACTGTACTCACACATGTTGAAGTAGGACTGATACTGTATTACCTGTGGAGGGTGGGGTATTCCCTCAAAGACATTGGTAGTTCATGCAGATAATCAATATGGTTCATTCTCTAAGAGTTATGAATCTGCACCCTAGATAGGAAAAATGTTGGATGAACGATTTTCAAGATACATTAATTCTACTTTAAAAGTTTGGCCTATTGGTGGCACTAGAGAACAGGTCAAATCGTTGATAAGTTTCGTTATTAAGGGGTTTTTTATATACTCAACAAATAAACAAAACACCTGACAAAAAATCTTGGTCAACAGTTGCATGTAAATCCTTTTCTGTAGGCAAATACACCTGGGGTCGGATTGACCCTAAGGGTGAAATGTGTTTGTAAGATTTGAGGAGTATAGGAGGGTTAAAGGATTTTCAATGAGGACAAAAATCTGAATCCCAAAAGCTCTGCTGTTCTCAGCTGTTTCTACATCCATAACATCTCATCTACACTATCTGATTCATTTTATCTAAGTAATTCACACACCTTCAGTCCCTGGAAAAAAAAGCCCAAGCCTCATCTGCACATTAAAGTCCATCACAGCCTCATGTTGAAATCTGCGTCTTCATCAATCTCAGCTCGACTTTCTTTTTACTCCAGGCTGCTCAACTCTGTCTGACCTCAGTTTCCTCATCCTCTGACAGGCAGGGAGGCATCTTCATGGATGTACCTCAGTGCATCAAAAGATCACCACCGGAGGAAACACGGCTGCAGATCAAAAGTCTGCTGATCTCTGTCTGAAAGTGAGCACCTGCTAATCTGCTTCAGGTAGATTCTGCATCTGTTGTTACCGGATGGATAATTTCCAAACAAAAATATCAAACAGAGTTGTTCTACCTCCAGGCCACCAGGCTTTTCAAGAAAAAGGAATGATCCTTCTCTTTAAGTTCATTCTCCAGCTTCTCCACTTTCACTCAATAAAGACTCTGGAGGAGTCTCTTTTTGAATATTTCCAGGGAACTCAGAGATTGGAGTTGTACATTTTCAACCTTTATCTTGGGCAAGTCTCTGGTGGTACCATATGGATTATGGTACAATATCAACTTAACAGCCTGTCATTGGTACAGTCAGAATCACTCATAATTCACTTTGGTTGCACTTTGTTTCCTTGAAGCCCACAGACCCAAAAACCTGTAGAAGGAGGAACACATATGTGTCATGTCAGACAATAGAGCATCAAAGTCCCACTCTGATCTTTTTTTTTTAACTACTTTAAGTGTTCTCAGTGGTCTTTAAGTTATTATACAGTTTTTAGCCAAAACCACATTACCTGTGATATTTTCAAGGACTTTTCTTCTGCAGAGCTTCTGTAGATCATTAGCAATTTGCCTCTGAGACGTGTGTGGAGACAGCACTGCACTGCACACTCCTCTTCGCTTTAGCTTGCAGCCAAACATTGCCGGTGTAGTAAAAGTAGCAGGTAACATAGGAGCTATTCAGCTCCTGGACACTAATGTCTTTGGAGAGATGAAAGTTAATATCATAATTATCTTTCTTACGAGCATTGCAATCTGCTAAAACACATGCTTGTTCCACGATTGTCCCCTGGGGGCCAAGCTTGGATTTGCTACGTAGGAAATCTCACTGTATCTGATCCTGCCGTTCAGGTCTGCCAGAGATTCACAGCAGTTTAAATGCAGAAATACTCAGGAATGCAATTTCACACTTATTTTCTCATGATGTGCCCTGTAGCATCAGAAAAATGCTATATGAACATGTAAAAAACAACAAAAACATGATTTTCATCAGAATGGGTCTTTAATGAACAGGCCTTAGGATGGAGAAGGGCTGACAAATTTTCAAATAGAGCTTTCACCTTCACTGAGAATAATGCTTATTAGCCTGAGATGGGCTCAACCAGGCCCCTCTGAAGCAGCTGATGGCCTGGCTTTTTCTCCACTCCTCTGGCAAGTTACTACACTTACTGTTGATAAGCACAACCAAAAATACGGAGCTATCCCTTTAAAAGTGAGGCTCATGACGGTTTGACTGCATTTAAATGTCTCATCATCACTTCTGACATGGCAGTCCGGTTCAGTAAGAACTAGTCCGTTTTTCCTCATTGGGAAAAAAGGAAACATGCGGGATGAATCACCCAAACAGTTACACCCAATATCCACTACATCGGAACGGCACCACTGCAGAACGGCAGCAATTTTTTCGGTCCACCAAATCCTACTGGATGCGTTTGTGAGGCGAATTTCGGACAGCAGGAATTGCGAGGACTCACAACAACCCTCGAAAGTTGTTTCTGTAAAGACAGCCATATATCCATATAAGCGGTAGATTATGCCTTCAGAGGAGGAAATCCACTCTGTCCAGACTGGTAGACCAGACACTTCTGTGGAGATTGGAAATAAGACCAGAATCAGCTCTTCATCCATGGTGTCACCAGGATGAAATTAAGTCTGAAAACCTTTGACTTGTTCGTCCTCAGACATGTTTGCATGGTATGAAATCACAGCAAACAGTCTTGAAATACCATCCGCCTGAAACACATACTGTTTTATCATGAAAAGAAGCTGGATGTCTTATTTTGTGTCTGTGCCAGTGCTTGATTTGTCCTCCAGTAGGTTCCGGGTCCCCCTCTGGAGCGCACGCCGTAAAAATATACTTTTTTTCTCGGGTTTTTAACGCGTTTTTATTGTCTTTTTCACCTTAATTTCTGCACCTACCTAGTATAACATTTGCGCGCAGTGCCGATGCAGAAACAAAACCATCCCAATGCGCATTGTGTTGTGACACATGACGGCATAAATCACTTTTTCCCCCTGTTTTACCTAATTTCCGAGTAAAATGCATAAGAATAAGCCAACAGGCGTCACTTCAGAGAGAAATAAAACACAGAGAAAACCTAGATAAAAACACAGTTTATTTATTGACAGGGAAGGTCCCGGAGCAGATCAAACAGGTGCCGGAGCGGCTGAAATAGGTCCTGGATCTGATCAAAGAGGTCCAGGAGCGCACTCCAGCCTGCTCCGGCTTGCTCCGGCACAAATTAAGCACTGGTCTGTGCCCAACTTCCTTTCGAGCACGGGCTCATCTGAGCTGAATTTATGCGGCATGCAATAAAAAGAAAGCTGGCGTTTGGCTACGAAGCCTGCTAAACTGCAGCGGGCCAGAAAGAAGCTGGTGGAAACTTGAATGGAAACGATCAGCGGCGATCTGCGTTGATGGTCTTTTCGCCGCCGTTCTGCATGCAGTGAAACTTTGGGGTTACTCTACTGAAGCTGGCATTTACACTTTTCCACACACATCCACCCGCCGGCTTCATAAAAATATTTTTACTCAGCCTTGCAGAGTTCAGTCGCTTCTTCCCCGAAACAAGATCTCCTTTACTGGCCCTCGGTCAACCATTCTTTTGTGTCTCACTTTGTGGAGTTATATTCTCTCAACTAATTTGTTGCAGGGCCAGAGAGTACCTCTTATCTATCAAAATGATGGATGTCTGAAATTATTTATTCAAGGCTTTTAAAATAAGAGCAGTGATGGGAGTATTCTTGGTGAAGGTCATAAAAATAGCCACCTGCTTACAGGAGCCCAGAGGCGGTGGTGGCAGCTTGTCATTGAGCAGACAGACAGACCATATGAAGAAGGTTAATTGGATGAAGGAGCATTTTGTGATTTTCATGCTTCAGATCCCTGAGCATCATTTCTGAGAGGCTGTAAGAACATACTAAATCTCTGCGTGCTGAAAACATTGAACCATGAAGAGCCAGAAAAATACTCTTACCATCCATGTGTATAACTCCATACTGTCTCTGTCCTGTATCGGTACTGTTCATGATGAAAACAGATGTTATGGACTTAAAGGGATGTTCCAATGTAAAATTAAGTTAGGGTCAAACACACTGTAACACAGTTTGAGAACCCCTTGAGAGATGAATGTCGCCGACTGCTTGCTTCTCTAGTTATACCAACTTAAGTAACGACCACACGAAAGCAATACACAGCGGTCTATGTCTCCACACACAAACCTCAACCAAACAGCCACAAATAATGCTCAGAACAGCAATAGCAACAGCAACTTCATCAACGGTACACATAGGGTCCCAGCCATAGTACTAGCCATCAAACATCTTTTTAGCTTTGCCTAATTTCTTTAGCAAAGAGACTAAACACAACTCACCCACTCTCTTCCAGCAGCCGCTTGTTCGTAGGGGAGGCCTGACGAGTCAATTGCAGAGAGCAGTGGAGTTTCGCAGCTCAAGGAAGAACATTTATGATCATATCTTCATGGAAATGCAATCAGACCAAGACGCTAAGGCAGAAGAACTACAGCGTCTGCAGCGCAAAATGATTATTATGATGATATTATGATTACTTCAACGAAATGATCCGCTGCACTCGGTGATCATCCGGAATATCCCTTTAAATATAAAATGACCCTGTTATCAGATTTTAACATTCCATTTAAGACTTATCCCACATCTATCTAAAAGTAGAGGCCTGCCACTTACATCCAAATACTAGAGGACAAAAAACTTCAATCTTTATTTGATCATATGTTAGATATTGATTGTTTATTATCATTTAACACATTAAAAGTAATAATGGGGAGTTTTTCTTTCAAATACAGCTCCAAAATTATGTAATTAATTTGTTCTTGATTTCATATTGTTGACTGCTTCTTGGTTTGCCTTTAAGTGTTTTTATTTTTGCTTGTTTTTAAAAGAATTACTTTTTTGTTGCATAACTTTAACATAACTTTTTTTTATGCATTGAAAAAATGTCAAGTCTGAGTGTCAGTATTTGCAGGTAAAATCGTAACTTGCGGTAAACCAGTATGAAAGCTCTATATCACATTATGAAGGTTGGTTCAGCTTATACCCACTGCAGGTTTGCTTCTGTCCAAAGTAGAGCGCTGTATGCAGAAATTTCTTTTCCTCGTACTGGCTCCAGACCAGAAGAGCCTTCTGCCTCACATATCTTTAGAGCTCAGACAGCTCTTATCTGGCTTTCCTGATCTTTGCAGCTGGTGGCTTGTGAAAAGGCAGCTGTCCTCTCTCACTTGATTTAGTTCTCCATGCAAAAGCAAAACCCCCAAAAATTTTTGTTTGTTAAAACATCGGCTCCCTATAAAATGTTGAGGACATTCACATGGCTCATATTCTGGGTATTGGGAGGGGTCCCCCTGCAAATATGTGTCCGTTTAAAATGTGCATGCATTCATCTGATCAGGTGACACTACACTCTTAAAAAGGTTTGGTTAAAAAAAAACAAAAACAATTTGGGTAGTTTCCCAACCCAGCACTGATTACATATTGGACAGAACACACATTTGTTTACTTTTACTCAACTAATGGGGTTGGTTCCCTGAACCCAACAATTGAGTTAACTACTCTGCTGGTTTCTTTAAACCCAGCATGTTGGGTTGTTAATATTTAATGTAATATTAAATTACATTAATGCATCAGATTTCATATAGCGCTTTATCAGAGACTAATAAGGTATTTTTGGTGCAAAAGGTTTTGCATCTGTACCATGTAATTTGTAGTTGTGTACGGTGATTGTGTACATGTATTTGTAAATGTGAAATCTGCACTCTATGAGTTGTGTATTTGTAGATTTTTTATTTTATTTCCACAAGCACAACACAACATTTACACATTCACGAATCTTAATTACAGGTGCACTAATCCTATTTTACAAGTCACAAATTCAAACTCTGACATGCTCACATGTTTGCTCCTGTTGTTGCAGCATATTTGGTGCAAAACATATTTGAGCACCTGTATGGAGCAATGTGAAGTTGTGGACAAAATTGAATATGTGCAGATCTTTATGTGAAAAAAAGTGGCAAAAAGTGTTACATTTATGTACAATCCCTGCAAGCAAGCTGGCACTGGCCCTGTCAGGGTCCAGTTAGGGCTTGTATAAGGGTCTGCTTTGGGCTGCCCCCACAGGACCCCAGAGGTTTTGCTCATTGGCAAAGCGCTACAAGCTACACTGGTCCAGCATGGGCTCACTTGCGGCCCTGAATAAGCAGCCCTCACTTAGCCCGTAGCAAACCCCCATTAACAGCCCTGACTAGGCCCCCACCACGCCCACACTGGTTTTACAGTCAAATTAATCCATTAATAAATTTTTTTACACCATTTCTGTCCAATAACAAAAATATCAATGTTCATGTAAAATGTATATAGTCAATTCATAACTGAAAAAATTAGTGGGATTCAAATCAATACATTTACTGATACATATTTCAGTTAACATTAAATATCTTTTAAGTTAATTTATTCAAGATTGATCCATAAGCTTCCCATCCAGCGTTGATTTCCACCACTCGCCCCAAGAAGAAACAAAGAAGCCCAACCTCCAGTCACTTGTCTTGTCCATTCTACAAAATGTCTTGTACTCCTTTCTCACTGATTTCATCTGGAAATGTAAAAAAGTAAAAATAAATTAATTGTATGTGTGTATGTGTATTTATGTCTGTCTTTGTCTGTCAGTGAGTGGGTCAGTGAGTGAGTGCATGTAATTATTGTTGCTGTTTGTGTGCGAGAATGCATGCGTGCATCACACACACAGCCAACATATTTACTTAAGTAATCATTGTTGAAGCTTACTTTTCAGCTGGGGCCCCACTTCTACCCAGCTGACGGCAAAAGCGCTCCTTTTGTCCACCATGTCTGTTGCACGTTTTCCGCAACCATGCAATAATCGCCATCTCAACAGCTCTATCCTAAGGACTGGGCTGGATGGGGTTATATGAAACAGTGCAATAGGGCATTTTTTTGTTGTTGCTGTGGACAGAGATCTTATTACATCCTTCAAATTTTTGTTTTTCTGCTTTTTTGAGAAAATAAGTAACTGCTTCGTGTGTGTGTGTGTGTGTGTGTGTGTGTGTGTGTGTGTGTGTGTGTGTGTGTGTGTGTGTGTGTGTGTGTGTGTAAGAGAAAAAGCATTTGACTTAATATGAGTTTGACTATCAAAAGTGTTGCTTGATGAGAGTTATAGTTGTAATTTAGACTTACTGGTTACATCCTTTAGTTTCAGGGACTGAAAAGCTCTCTTTTTATTCATGCTGATCCAGTTTAATTGTTTAGCTAAAAAATGGCCAATCAGTGTTCCCAACACTTGTTATGCATTCTTGAGATTGAACCCACCAATTGTTCCAAGATAGGCAATCTGGCAGGAAGGGAAACAAAACAGAAGTAATGACATTATTGACTTTGGTAAAAAGAAACAAACAAAAAAAAGGCCCACTATATATATATATATATATATATATATATATATATATATATATATATATATATATATATATATATATACATATATATATATTATACTTGTGGAGATAAAATAAAATCTACAAGTACACACAAAAAATCAAAAAGTACTAAACTAAGAGTGTGATGTCACTAAAGCGACTTTTGTCACGTGTCGCTTGACCGGTTTGAACGCACTTTTTGCATGCGTGACAAAATTTAAGTGACAACGCGACAAATGTCGTGTCCGGCTAACTAGACACTATGCGACAGAACGAGTGAGTGAATGTGAGTGGTTCAATGTTTCTCAATGGAGATGTCCTAACCGACGGTGCACACAGACTTGTTGGCGTGGCATTTAACTTCGCTCCCAGTTTGTGCCTATGACCTCTCCAACCACCACCACACAACACTCACAATCATACACCAGTGGAAGATACACACTGGGAGCAAGGTGGTTTGAGTGTCTTGCCCAAGGATGCAATGGACAGACTTGGGATAGGGGGATTTGAACCGCCAACCTTTCAGTTATTGGACGACTGCTCTACCGCCTGAGCTACTGCCACCCCTTAACAGCTAATGTGTTGGCTAAGATTAGGAAGCTGAGCCGTGCCTGTATATGCACGCACGTGAACTTAATTGGAAAAAAAAGGCACACAGCAAGGAGAGCTGAGCAGCTAGCAGCAGTTTTGCTTTGCTTAACTTACATCTTAACAACAAAATGAGGGTCTATATAATAACACCAATTCATCTATATGGTAAAGCAATTGTGGGAATGTAACAAACCTTGCTTTGTACGTCTCCTCACTTCAGCAGTTGTGGCATCAATCTAGTGAGTGGGTGGTGCTTGGTTTCAAATGCCCGAAATGTCTACCCAATGTGTTGGGTAGTCCACAATAAACCAACAAAACTGCATAGAAATGACAACAGCTAATAACTCTGTTCCCAACATAAATAACCTTGCGAACTGGGTACTCAGAATACCCAACTCCATGAAAATAACCCAAATATATTGACCAACAGGCTCAACCTAGTGGTTGGGTTGGAAAAACAACCCAGCATTTTTTTGTTGAGTAAGACTCTGCAGTGTGTATGATTTTACAGACAACATCTTTAATCTAATGCACAGACCTATATACAAACATACACTATGTAGATCTATCAGCAGAGGTCCCTTAAAAGCCGATAACTATGGATGGATGGTGTGTTGGATAGTCATTATAAATTACAGGAGACTGCACACACAAACACATGCAAATCCTCTCCTCTGTATCTTGGGCGCACCACGCGCATGAATCATTGACAGCCACACTGAAAAGCAAATCACAGTCCATAATGTGGAATTTATTGCCAAATGGAGTGTATTTCATTTCAGGCCTCATTAGTCGGCAGAGGCCACAAAGCTGTCTCTGGATCACCTTTACCATTACAGTTGTTATGATCTGAGAGTGAAGGTTGGGGGGTTGGGAGTTTGCTGCTCATTTGAGACAAGCATCAGTGTTCTGCATCACACACACTGTGCATGTGGCCTATGAAGACTGTGATGGAAGAGATCAGATCCAAATAAAAACTAAAACTTAGTTCAAGTACTTTAAGTAACTATTGATTGTTGACAATGTTAATGTCATGAACAACCTATTAAACAGGTTTGATTTCATTACGACACCAAGACAAGGAAAACACTGTCTGAAAGCAGTCGGGATTGTGTTTTATGGACATCTGACAACAAACAACCAGGATCATGAGAGCGGGCCTCCACTTAAGCAAAAC